TAAAACAACATGTGTACTACTGTTTCATGAGAAACTATTTGTTCTGTAAGCCTTCACCTGAAGTACAATAAAAAAAAAAAGTATAAAATCAGAATGTCTTGAGGCTTCTTGAACAAAACTTTAAAAGCAAGAAGACAATAGAGCATTGGCTTGAAAATTCTCAGAGAAAATTATTTCCAACCTAGAATTTTATATTATTAATTAAAGTTAAAGATAGAATTAAGACATTTTCAGACATGTGAATTTTCAAAAATACTTCCCATGACACTTTCCTAGAAATATCCCGCAATATATAATCCACCACAACTGAATGAATAAAGTAAGAAAAAGTAATGAAATCCTGGCGTTAAGATATTAATTCCAACAGAGAGTTGAAGGTTATCTCTATGACGTTGCTGAAGAGAAATCCCAAGATAACATCTGTGTAGAAAGGGTATAATTGAGTGCAGAATCCTCACCTTCCATGGAGAAAATGAATAGATTATGCCAATAACTGAAAAATTGGGAAATAACAATGTTAAGATTCCATTTAAAGAGTTGAAAGTGGTTGCCTATGAAAAATGGGAAGTAGAGTAGTGGAGAATGGTCTGAATTTTTCATCAGAAGTTCTGACTTCTGACTTACTATTTAACTCTGTAAACTATAAGTATATGTAGCTTTGAAGAAAAAAGCAAACAAACAAAAACGCACAGGCATGGCACAGCCATGGAAAAGGCTTGATGGTGACTATATGCTCCATTTAATTATACATTCAAAACTAAACAACTGCAGCAATTATGATTACAAACCAGAACAAAGTGTTATAAATATTGACAGTATAAAAAAAGAGTAATAGTGCTAACAAAGCACTGAGAAGTGTGAGTGAAAAATGAGAAGTATAAATGTGCTGATTTTTTTGTTTTTCATAGCAGGGTATAATTGAGATAAGGTCCAAGGGTAAAACGCGTAGTTTTAAAAAAAATGACTGCAACTCTTCTCATTTTTTTCAAACTCTTTTTTTTTCTTCTTTTTCTTTATGTTAAGGGGTATTTTTGTATCAACGCCTTTGTTATAGAGAAATAATTAGTTGAAGCTCAATATTTTTCAGTTTCTCTTCTTCACATAAAATGATTTTAGTATTTTAATTCTAAAATAACATGTATAGTACCATCTTGGTACAAATACTTTTTCTGCCTATCTATCACTTATTAATCTATCCATTCATGATTCTATATGCGTATCCATTCTTTTACCTGTGTATATTGAAAAAAATGTCTGCAACAGTGTTTGGCAAATGTTAACAATGCGTATTTCTGGGATCTGGAATCTTTAATTTCTTCTGTCCTTCCTTCCTTCCTTCTTTTCTCCTCTCTCCCTCCCTCCCTTTCTTCCTTCCTTCCTCTCTTAGAACTTCTCTATAAAGTTTGAATTTTAATAAGCATAATCAGTTTTACAAGAGAATAAATTCATTATTCTCTCAAAAGAGAATAAATTATAATAAATTGATACCATTTTAAAGGGAGAGAATTCATTGCTTGCAATTGTTTCTTTATCTTTTGTAAAAGTGAAATAAAGTTTATATAACAAACTAAAATAAATAAAAACTTATTCTTTACCAACCTACTGTCAGAAAATGAACCAGAAGACCAATAGTTATTCCCAGAATTGCCAACACTCCTAACACAATGAGGGCAATCATCCATAGTGGCAAAGATGTACGGGAAGATGTGACAGGTCTGCAAGTAAAGGATATATATCAGAATAAGTTTAGTCATTTGAAATGCATATTTCTTTCTTCTTGCTCAGATTCCACACTTTCCACACAGTAGCAGCAAAAGACATTTGAAGAAGAAAAAAAAAAGTGCTTCCCTTAAAGTTTACCATTGAACCTCTCTGAATCTGTACTATGAGATTATTTTTCAGGAGTTTGATGGTTGGTGCCAACTTATTTGTATTTGGCATCTAGTTCCCTCCCATGACCAATGATTATGAACAGAGCTACAATAAGTGAAAACTCTGCCTGGTGGAGGGCAGCGCATCTAGTTTGCTCCCATGATCAACAGGTAGGAACAGAACAACAATAAGTGAAGACCTTGAACAGTGGGGGGAAGGGAGGAAATGCGAATGGCTTCGAAGCTCTTCCTGCCTAAGCCTATCATCATTTTTAAGAGTATGATCACAGTCCTATAATATTTACTATGTCCCCATTATATACAAAGAACACACACAAACATGAATTACTGTATTAAGTCAAAGCAGTGCCCATCTAGCTTATTAGCTAACTTCTCAGACAAAGAAGCATGGGGAGGACAGTCTAGAAAGATGGAACAGTGTGCAACTCTCAGAAAAATACTAGCAATGCAATTTTGTTGCAGCAAACTATGAGTCAGGAGTTGTCCAAAGATGAAGGTGGACAGAGAGGCAGCAAGAAGTTCAAGAAGTACATTTGATACCACAAAAAGTTGTGGAGGTTTTGTCTTATTTGTTGGGCCTTCTCCACGTGTAATTGGAGGACGATCTGAATCAGAATCACCTGGGGGAACTTATTTATTATACAGATTGAGACTTCCTATCCCAGATCTATTGAATTCAAATTTCAGGAAGGGTCAAGGAATTTGTACTTTGACATTCCTGGTGATACAGATTCTCATTATGTACTATAGCCTGTTCCTTGCCACATTCTCATCTGATAAAACTGTATTTCTTATTTCACTGAGAAAATGGAAGGCATCAGAAGAGAATATTCACAACTCCACCACCGCATTTATGGCTTTCTCTTCATCTGTACGTTTTTCCTCATGTTTCTACAAGTAAACTGTCTGTGCCTTTATCTAAAGTCAACCCTGCCATCATCTCATTTCCTCACTCTCCAACATGTCACCTATTTTCCAGCCATTTCAACATCAGACTATTTCACACCTCCACGTACTTGCACACTCAGTTCCTTCTGCCTAAAATATCTACCTAAGTCTACCCAGTTTCACTCAACCTTCATCACTCAGCTCTGTCATCTCATCATCATTGAAGTCTTCCATGGACCATCCTACATTGAAAGTATTTTTTATTTGTACATCAGTCATTTCACCTCTAGTCGTACGCATGTTATCGTCTGAGGCAACATCATTATTTATTATACCCAGGGCCTAGCATGGTGTCTAGAATATTATAGATATTTGTTGATGGAGGGAATGAAAGAAGACAAAGAGGATCAAAATGAACTACATCATGGGGGCTAGAAAGATCAGAGGGATCCAAATTATGGAAAGCCTTCAGTGCCAGTCAAAAGCGTTTTGACTTTATCCTGTGAAAATGACTAACATGAGAACATGTGGTGCTTAGGGAGATGAATGTGCAGGCAGGATGCATGATGATAGTTTAAAGAAGAGGAAAACAAAAGGAGAAGGTCAATGAGGAAAGAGGTTATTGTAATCCATGGGAATGGAGTGATGGGATCCTGGGTAGTGGTAGTAAGAACGGGGAAAAAAGTAACAAATTTCAGCAGGTGTAGAATATTTGCCAGAACTTGATAATTAATTTGCTATATTGATAAAAGACAGGACTATGTTAAAGAGGATGCAATATTTCATCTTCAGAAGCTGTTGTTGTTAGGTGCCGTCAAGTCGATTCCAACTCATAGTGACCCTACGTACAATAGAAAGAAACACTGCCTGGTCCTACGCCATCCTCACAATCGTTGTTATGCTTGAGCCCATTGTTGCAGCCACTGTCAATCCATCTCATTGAGGGTCTTCCTCTTCTTCACTGACCTCTATTTTATCAAGTATGATGTCCTTCTTCAGAGACTGATCCCTCCTGATAACATGTCCAAAGTATGTGAGACGTAGTCTCACCATCCTTGCTTCTAAGGAGCATTCTGGTTGTACTTCTTCCAAGACAGATTTGTTCGTTCTTTTGGCAGTCCATGGTATATTCAATATTCTCTGCCAACACCACAGTTCAAAGGTGTCAATTCTTCTTTGGTCTTCCTTATTCATTGTCCAGCTTTTGCATGCATATGAGGCGATTGAAAACACCATGACTTGGGTCAGACGCACCTCAGTCTTCCAGGTGACGTCTTTGCTTTTAAAGAAGTCTTTTGCGGCAGATTTGCCCAATGCAATGCGTCTTTTGATTTCTTGACTGCTGCTTCCATGGGTGTTGATTGTGGATCCAAGTAAAATGAAATCCTTGACAACCTCAATCTTTTCTGTTTATCATGATGTTGCCTATTGGTCCAGTCGTGAGGATTTTTGTTTTCTTTATGTTGAGGTGTAATCCATACTGAAGGCTGTGGTCTTCATCAGTAAGTGCTTCAAGTCCTCTTCACTTTCAGCAAGCAAGGTTGTCGTCAGCATAACGCAGGTTGTTAATGAGTCTTCCTTCAATTTTGATTCCCTTCTTCTTCACAGAGTCCAGTTTCTTGGAGTATTTATTCAGCATACAGATTGAACAGGTATGGTGAAAGGATACAACCCTGATGCACACCTTTCCTGACTTTAAACCACAAAGTATCCTCTTGCTCTGTTTGAATGACTGCCTCTTGATCTATGTACAGGTTCCTGATGAGCACAATAAAGTGTTCTGGAATTCCCATTCTCCGCAATGGTATCCACAATTTGTCATGATCCACACAGTCCAATGCCTTTGCATACTCAATAAAACACAGGTAAACATCTTTCTGGTATTCTTTGCTTTAGCCTCTTCTAAATCCAGCTTGAATTTCTGGCAGTTCCCTGTCAATGTACTGCTGCATCCACTTTTGAATGATTTTCAGCAAAATTTTACTTGTGTGTGATGTTAATGATATTATTCAATAATTTCCACATTTGGTTGGATCACCTTTCTTGGGAATAGGCATAAGTATGGATCTCTTCCAGTCAGTTGGCCAAGTAGCTGTCTTCCAAATTTCTTGGCATAAATGAGTGAGCACTTCCAGTGCTGCATCCATTTGTTGAAACATCTCAGTTGATATTCCATCAGTTCCTGAAGCCTTGTTTTTCACCGATGCCTTCAGTGCAGGTTAGACTTCTTCCTTCAGTACCATCAGTTCCTAATCATATGCTACCTCCTGGAATGGATGAACGCCGACCAATTCTTTTTGGTCTAGTGACTCTGCATGTCCTTCGATCTTCTTTTGATGCTTCCTGCTTCATTTAATATTTACCCCATAGAAGCCTTCACTATTGCAGTTTGAGGCTTGAATTTTTTCTTCAGTTCTTTCAACTTGAGAAATGCTAAGCAAGATCTTCCATTTTGGTTTTCTATCTCCAGGTCTTTGCACGTGTCTTTGTAATGCTTTACTTTGTCTTCTCAAGCCACCTTTTGAAGTCTTCTGTTCAGTTCTTTTACTTCATCATTTCTTCCTTTTGGTTTAGCTACTCAATGTTCAAGAGCAAGTTTCAGAGTCTCTTCTGACATCCATTTTGGTCTTCTCTTTCTTTCCTGTCTTTTTAATGACCTCTTGCTTTCTTCGGGTTTGTTGTCCTTGATGTCTTTCCACAACTCGTCTGGTCTTCGGTCATTAGTGTTCAACTTGTCAAATCTATTCTTGAGATGGTCTCTAAATTCAGGTGAGATATACTTGAGGTTGTACTTTATTCTTGTGAACTTGTTCTAATTTTCTTTAGTTTCAACTTGAACTTGCATATGAGCAATTGATGGTCTGTTCTACAGTTGGCCTCCAGCCTTGTTCTGACTGATGATATAGAGCTTTTCCATCATCTCTTTCCACAAATGTAATCAATTTGATTTCTGTGTATTCTATCTGGTGAAGTCCACGTGTATAGTCACTGTTTATGTTCGTGAAGAAAGATATTTGCAATGAAGAAGTCATTGGTCTTTCAAAATTTTGTCATGGGATCTCCAGCATCGTTTCCATCACCAAGGCCATATTTTCCAACTACCAATCCTTCTTCTCTGTTTCCAACTTCTGCATTCCAATCACCAGTAATCATCAATGCATCCTGATTGCATGTTCAATCAATTTCAGACTGAAGAAGTTGGTAAAAGTCTTCAAGTTCTTCATCTTTGGCCTTAGCATTTGGTGTATAAATTTGAATAATAGTCATATTAACTGGTCTTCCTTATAAGTATATGGATATTATCCTATCACTGACAGTGTTGTACTTCAGGATAGATCTTGAAAAGTTCTTTTTGACTATGAGTGCAACACCATTCCTCTTCAGGTTGTCATTCCTGGCATAGTAGACCATATGATTATCTAATTCATAATGGCCAATACTAGTCCATTTCAGCTCACTAATGCCTAAGATATCGATGCTCCTGGGTTCCATTTCATTTTTGATGATTTCCAATTTTCCTAGTTTCATACTTCATACATTTCATGTTCCAATTATTAATGGATGTTTGCAGCTGTTTCTTCTCGTTTTGAGTCGTGCCACATCATTAAATGAAGGTCCCGAAAGCTTGACTCCATCCATGTCATTAAGGTCAACTCTCCTTTGAGGAGGCAGCACTTCCCCAGTCATATTTTGAGTGCCTTCCAACCTGGGGGGACTCATCTTCTGACAGTATATCAGACAATGTTCCATTAATATTCATAAGGTTTTCACTGGCTAATTCTTTTCAGAAATAGGCCGCTGGGTCCTTCTTCCTAGTCTGTCTTAGTCTGGAAGCTCAGCTAAAACCTGTCCGCCATGGGTGACCCTGCTGTTATTTGAATACCAGTAACATAGCTTCAGCATCACAGCAACATGCAAGCCCCTGCAGAATGACAAACTGACAAACATGTGGGGGTCTTGAGAAGTAGAGGGAGGAAGAAATGAAATCTAGAAGAGGTAATTTAGGGAGGAAACTAGTAAATTTTGTATATCTTGAGTTTGAGGGACATTTAAGTTTCCACTACACAACTGGAAATAACAGACTGGTGGTTAACTGAGGAACTGCAGTTGGAGGTATAAACTTAGGAGTCATCCAAAACACAGGACAATCAAGGCTGGAAAACTGAATCTGTATACCATAGTAATTCTTATATAAAATATTGTGGAAAATTGATGCTTCTCTTTCTAAGGTAAACATTTGTTTACATTCTAACTTTGACTAAACTGTCTCAGTTTTTCTGTATCTTTCCTGAATGTCACAGCCTCATGGTGTGATGCTTCGCAAAAAACCTTAAATTGTCAGCCTCTCCTTCTTAACTGTCAAAGTCAAAATATTATTCATCTTTCAACGATGGGTTAACACTTACCTCATCCCAAACCTACTCATAGTTTCATTCTTTAATCTTTACTCCACACCCTTTCTTTATTTTTCTATCTCCCATGACCTCTAGTAATTACTAATTTTTTTCTAATAATCTCTTAACTGGAGATACATTTATACATTTCTTGTTTTGGCTAGTTTTATTTTTAAAGCTTTAACTCAGAACAAGATAGAATTAAGCAAAATTTTTATTTTTTACTGCTTCAACGTGTTTTAAGGACTTGTGTTCTTATAAGAAGAATAAGAAATCTTTATCTGTTTAAATTTGATCAAGTAAGATGTCTTAGAATTCATTCAAGCACTGTGGTTTGAAAGTGGGAAATGGAAATAACTTTCCAATTTTCATTGTCCTTAACTGATTGCTGTAGAATTTTATATTTCCATTCTGTATTTCCCATTTTTATTATTTCTTGTCACAATCTCAGATGCTTCTGTGGGTTATAGCCCTTTAAATCATAACCTAAAGTTCTTACAAACCATGACATAGATCTAAAGCTGCTTAAGAATGACAGAGAGAGTTCCTGGGTAGAAAAATCACGCAGCTGTTAGCCAATATTTTTGGTAGTTCATACTAAAAATCCTTCAGAAAAACCTGTAGGGAATTACTGAAATAGGATGCAAATAGCAATAGTATCTTGCCATAAAAAAGTTCCTGGAGATAAATTGCTCAACACTATCTTGGCAATGACCCAAAATGTATCTTTCTTTGAAATTTTTTCCATTGCATTCTATAGGACTAACTCTAAGAGAAGAAAAAAAAAAAGAAGTAGATAGAATTTGGTTTTAAAGTCTTTACTTCCACTTCTGTGTTCCTCTACCTTCTTTTAGCTATTCATCATTCAGGCACTCACATGCAACCCCATGGTTTATCAAGAGCTCC